GCATGATAAATATTGGTTTAATCAACAAATGGAAGTGCCCCACAAAGCAATCAGTTACTAAGAGGCAGCTATGTTGGTTTCCCAGCACTGCCATAACAAGTATTACAAACTGGATGGCTTAAAACAACAGAAAGCTATTCTCTCACAGACCTGGAGACTAGAGGTTGGAAACCAAGGTGTCAGCAGGGGTAGCTCCTGTGAGGACTGTGAGAGAGAATCGGTCCCAGGGTGCTCTCCCAGCTCTGGTGATGGCGGGCAATCCTTAGCCTTCCTTGGCCCGTAGGTGCATCACCCCCATCTCTACCTTCATTCTCCCATATGTCTGTGTCCAAATTTCCTCTTTTCATAAGGATGCCAGTTACATTAGATGAGAGCCTACCCTAATGACCTCAACTTGGTGACATCTGTAAAGATCTTATTTCCAAAAAAAAGGTCACCTTCATAGGTACTGGGGGTCAGGACTGCAACTTATCTTTTGGATGGTACACAATTAAATCCATAACACCGGGTATTGTTCTTTTCACATTATAGTCCTGATTCCCAACATTTTGTCCTGTCCTGTCAACTGTCATTTAAAAAGGTTCCAGAAATATCAGTATTTCTGCACCTAACCCATTTCATCCTCTCTTCCTTTTGTACTTGAAATTAAATTCCACATCCTGGCTGGGCATGGTGGCTCACACCTGTAATCCCAGCACTTTGGGAGGCCAAGGTGGGTAGATCACAAGGTCAAGAGATCGAGACCATCCTGGACAACATGGTGAAAACCCACCTCTATTAAAAATACAAAAATTAGCTGGGCATGGTGGTGCGCACCTATAGTCCCAGCTACTCGGGAGGCTGAGGCAGGAGAATTGCTTGAACCCGGGAGGCAGAGGTTGCAGTGAGCCAAGATCACGCCACTGCACGATCCAACCACTTTGTTCCAGCCTGGCAACAAAGAGAGACTCCATCAAAAAAAAAAAAAAAAAAAAAAAATCCACCACATCCTATCAAACTACTTGGGCTACTAGGGTCCAGAAAGGAAAGCTGTACAGAGAGCCCAAGAGAATGCTGTTCACATAGTAGAAACACAGTAAATGCCACTAAGCTACTGTGTGACCTTGGACAAGTTACTCCACCTCTTTGAGCCTCAGTTTTCTTAACTGTTAGGTAAAGGCATTGGATCTCACTGACATCTCTCTGAAGACACACAGGGAATAGGCCAGATTCCCTTTTAGAACTCTGGTAGGCAGATGAGATGGATCCTTTCCCTGGACATGCAGAGATCGGGTGCCACTGACTCCTACCTCTCTCTTCACTTCTGTGTACCCTGAGATGAAGCCCTTTCCCTCTGAGGCTCCTCATCTGTAAAATCAGAGGGTAGAATGTTCTGATCTCCCAAGCCGGCAGCCATAGAGGAGGCAGTCACTGCTCCATCATCTCTGAGCAGTGGATGAAGACTATAGAAGCGAGGCAGCCTCCGATGAGCTCATTGCCTCCATCCTTTGGTTGGCTGGCTGGAAATGAGAACATTCAGTACATTTGGGGCACCTCCTACATTCCTGAGGCTCAGATGGTAGCCTATGCCCCAACATTGATGAAGCAGCAGTTATATTACCCCCAGCCCAACACCTGCCAGAATATAGCCCAAGTGTTGCAAACGGCTGTGTAGGGAGAAATTGTGCGGACAGGGGGGTTGCAAAGACAGCAAAAGAGACAGCAAAGCCAACACCTCACCCAAGTTCACAAAAGCCCAGATTAAACCAATGAACAGTTGGAATTTCTAACTTGGACAGCCCCCAGGATTGTGCCTGCCTATACCTGGTACTGAATACGTGAACCTTCTTGCTCCTTCTCAGACACACCCCGTCATGGTTCCAGACAACCACTGCTGTGATTCTGAGCTTCCTTGTTACACCGAAAATCCTAAGAGCAGAGGTATAGTCTGATTATTTCTGAACCTAAAACCTAGCACAATGCCAGGCACAAAGAAAGAAGTCAGGAAGGCAATAAGGAAAGTAGGAAGGATGGAAGAGGAAGGAAGAAAGGGAAGGAGGGAAAGAGGGAGACTGCAACAGAATATTACAGTGGCTAATGGTGCAAGCTGTAGAGTGCAAAAGAACTGAATTCAAACTCTGGTTTTGCCATTGACTGGCTTTGTGACCCAAGGCAAATCGTTCAACCTTGCTGAATTCCAACGTCCTGATTTGGAAAATGAGGGTACTATTCACTCCACAGGGTCGTTGTGGGAATTAAATAACTCACTTAGAACACTTAGCGTAGTGCTTGGCCATGGTAAGCATTCGGCAAACTGTGGTAGTAATTTGTGTCATCATTTCTAGTAGTTAAAACAACAATAACCGCATGGACTGCATAGCCCTCTGACATCATCTGCCCAGCCAACGTTTCAGTACCTGGAGGGAGCGGGGGCGGGGGGAGGAATGAGTATTTGCAGCAGTACACAGGGACGGCGGCGCTGACTCAGGAGCATTCCACTTTATGGCAGCGATCTCGGAGTGACCTGCAGGCCAAATCAGAGTTGCCAGAGCCCTTTTGAGATGGGGGTGTCCCGGGCTACCGCCTCTGACCTCGTTCTCTTGGCAAGTGGCGCCACCTGCTGGCTCCTCCAGGAACTGTCTTGCATACCTAGTCACCCAGCTGCAAAATGTTATTTGTGTTAAGTCCTGGATTCCTATAATCACCTCCTGACTGCCAAAGCCACCTTGATCCTGGGAAGCCAGTCACGCAATTCATACTGTCCTGCAGTAGTCCGATTCATGTCAGAATTTCCAGGACAACTCCCGATTTCCTGAGGATTATAAATCAACCCCATAAAATTTCATTTTGCCCTGAGACTTTGAGTATATTAACCAGCTAGTCTGTTTCTATTCTCTTCTGCTTTTTTTTTTTTTTTTTTTTTTTTTGCCAGGGCGGGGTGCGGCAAGGAATGGAGTCTCACCTTGTCTCCCAGGCTGGAGTGCAATGGCGCGATCTCGGCTCCCTGCAACCTCCGCCGCCCAGGTTCAAGGGATTCTCCTACCTCAGAAGTAGCTGGGATAACAGGCGCCTGCCACCGAGTCCGGCTATTTTTTTTTTTTCTTTGTATTTTTAGTACAGATGGGGTTTGCCATCTTGGTCAGTCTGGTCTCGAACTCCTGACCTCGTGATCCACCCGCCTCGGCCTCTCAAAGTGCTGGGATTACAGGTGTGAGCCATAGCGCCCAGCCTTCTCTTCTGCTTCTATTCGTGGCAGAAGAAACCTCCTTTCTTTCCTTTTTCAGGTGCATTCTGGGTTGTTTTGGAGCTTAGGTCAACCTTTAGTTTAGAGTCAAGGGTCCTAAGTTCCAGTCTCAGCCCACCAAACACTTTTGCCCAGGTCCCTAATCTCTCCACCTCCAGCTGCTTTATCTGGAAAAGGAGGGTTGTGGTTCCACCTGCCATCATGCTCCTGATCCTTTTGTGTGTTTTTTGTTCGTTTGTCTTTTTATTGTTGTTGTTGTTATTGTTTTTGAGACAGAGTCTCACTCTGTCACCCAGGCTGGAGTGCAGTGGCACAATCTCGGCTCAGTGCAACCTCTGCCTCCCGGATTCAAGCAATTCTCATGCCTCAGCTTCTCAAGTAGCTAGGATTACAGGTGCAGATCACCACACCCCGCTAATTTTTGTATTTTTAGATGAGACTGCTTTTTCGCCATGTTGGCCAGGCTGGTCTCAAACTCCTGACCTCAGGTGATCCGCCCGGCTCAGCCCCCCAAAGTGCTGGGATTACAGGTGTGAGCCACTGTGCCTGGCCTGGTCCTGATCCTTTTGAAATTTAAAGGAGAATGAAATCAGTGGGAAAAGGCTTTGTCAGTGTCACAGATAAGGCTACAACTTCTTAGCCTGTGGGTGTAACTAGTGTCACGTGTAAATACAGAATCTTGGGTGATGGTTTCCTGCATTGGCCTTGACTTCTTCCTCACCAGCAGCCTCTTAGTGTGACATTGTCATGGTAGCTACTATAAGGCTGGTACAGGTTTCAGTTTTATTATGGTCATTCATGAGATATTTAATGAGGGCTTACTATGCACCAGGCATTATGGGAATTCATATATTAGAGCCAAAATTCTTGGACTTTGGGACCTGGAGGTCTAGGAGGGATGAAGTGTAAACAAATCCACACATTGGTCCATCCCTGTTATGTGCCAAGCACTGTGCTGGGCACGTGATGAATGTCAACTGTAGGTCGAACAGGAAGGACTCATGAAGTACAGTTACAAACGCAGCTTTGGTTTGATAGGGACCCGCCCAAGATCCCTTTCAATTTGTTCTGTGGGTGGTAGACATTCTTCCCAGCCCCTGGGCGAAAACATGGACGGTCCCATGATTTTTCTGATCACTTGCAGGAAACTAAAAATACCATACTCGTTTTAAGCCACAAAACAGTCTCAACTCAGGAAACAGAATGTCTAGTTGATATATTATTCAACACATCAACCTTCATTTTCTCCCCTGCCCAGGTAGGGCCAAGCACCTAGTGGGGGTGCTGAGGTCAGCTTTGTCTCTCTTTCCTGCGATTCTCCTCACTCCCACTTCCCTGTGGCTGTTTCTAGCCCAGTTTAAATCTAAGCAGGATGAAGGGAAGGGAAATAAGGGAAGGGAAGCGAAGGGAAGGGGAAAAGCTCTTCCTTGTCAGATATTATTGTAAGTTGGTGTCACAGTGTCTGGGTCTGGCTAACGTTTAAGTAAGATTCTTTCTCTTGGGGACACTTTTCTGGATTCCTCTGAGACTCCCTTGCTGGAGCATCTGCAGGCCCAAGCCCCTTCTTCAGTTGACGGCCTGTGACCCTTCCCCGCAAGCTTCTGCCCCTGCAGTATGGCCCACTGGCACCCCCTCACCCTCGCAGGCCGCCCTCCCAAATGACCCGCTGCTGACATGCTTGCCAAGGGCTCCACGTCTCCCAGAGATGGAAGCACCTGTCAGGCATTGTAAAAGGAGTGCAGTGACTTTGCAGTCATCTCAGCTCAGACAGCTGAACATCCCGTTACACATACATCTCTTCTAATCACCTTGCAATCCAGGAAAAAAGTTCCCTTATCCCCTTTCTACAAATAGGGAGACTTTTAGAGAATTACACAATCACTAAGTGACAAAGATGAGGTTTGAGCCCTGTCTCTCCAAGTCAAAGCCCACGATATTCCCATGAGTCCTTGCTGTTGGATTCCAAAAAGCAAAGGGCTCACTCTGGGGCCTGGGACAAGCCATCAAACCTCCATCTTGATTCTTCATCTTTCATGATTCCCAAGAGCTCTTCACATTCTAAAACGCTATAATAAAATTTCTGAGTTGAGGAAGCCTAGAAGCACATGGCAGAGAATTCTGCAGAGGCCTCCCTCTTCTGCGTGGGAGGAGGTCCCCACAGCTCAGCTCTTCCCAAGAGCTCTCTGCCCTGACACTCTACATGATATGGGCATGTGCCTCCAGCAAGTACAGGGCAGAGAGAAACATCATTTAAGTGGTGCTGGCATTTCTGCTCCTCCAGGAGGATATGCCCGGTACGGAGCGGGAGATGGAAGGCATGCATTTGCTTCCTTTCCAGACGGGCTGGCTCGTTTCCCGTGTGCCTCTCGTGATGAGAGGATTATGCATGCGGAGCGTGAGGCTGGTGTTTCAAGTGAGGCAGTTTCCAGACACCATGCATGACTCCTGGTTTAAGCCAATTATCTCATCATGGTTCAACCAAAGAAACAAGTTATTCAAATGCTGGAGAAAACTCCCAGCCGGGCTGGTTTTATTGACTGTGGGTCTCCAAGATGGCACCCTTCTAAAGAATTTCCAAGGATCATTTTGACTGTGCAATTGCAACGTTCTCCTTAAACCCTCACCACCATTGGTGGGACTTCAATGCTTAGCAGCTTAAGGAAGCCAGCATGTTCTCCATGGCTGTATCCTCTAGATCCTCACAGCCTCCCTGCAGAATAAGCAGAACAGGTGTCATTACCTCCTTTTTACAGATAAAGAAACTGAAGCTCAGAAGTGATAAATATGACTCTGGTGAAAAGCAGAGCCAGGACTTGAACCTTGGTTTCCCAATCCAAGTCTAACACTTTGAGTCCTGTACCTTCTTTTTGCTGATGTTCACACAAGATCGAGTAAGCATTTCCCTGCCCTTCCTAATCTACTTACCAGAATCCCACCTCCCTGCTCCTCAGCCGGCCTGGGGTTGGAGAATGGGATGGCATCTCAGGCAGTGTAAGGCTGAGGATTCTTCCACGATTCTTCCAATAGGACATCAGCCACATCCATCCTGGCAACAGCACACTAAACTGTCCATTATGTCCCACTGGAATCAACTGAGGTTATGTTTCTGCATGACAGAGAATGGTTTGTTCCCTTCATTACATTAGCCTGGGCCAAGGGGTAAAGCATATCTATCCCTTTATTGCCCATAAGTGTCCCTTAGTTCCAGTGGAGATTAAGAAAACTGACATTTATTGAGCATATACTACATGCCAGAATTTGTTCTGAGGGTTTTGCTCATCTCGATTCATTTAACCTCACAACAACCCTAGGAGGCCATTCCTTGTATGATTCCTTTTTATAGATGAGGAAACTGATGCACAGCACCAGTTAAATAACTTTTCCAAGGTTCACAGCTAGAAGTGATTGAGACAAAACCTTTAACTTGGGTAGTCGGATTCCAGAGTCTGTGTGCCCAGATCCACTCTCGACAGACTAAAGCTCAAGCTAATCTGACCTTGAGGTTTTCCAGGAGGAAAAGCATGAGACTGAGGAGAACACTTACGTTAGATTGGATTCCTGAGAAGCAAAGCCCAAGTCCAGGATTCTCTTGTGGTCCACGTACTATGGAAGTGCTCCCGGAGAAACTTGCAAGAGGCAGGGAGGCAGGACACGGAGGGAGGAGCAAGCAAGGGAGCCACCTCAGGACTGCCCCACCCCCAAGCCAGGGACCCGGCTTTCATGCCCCCAGCTGTCAGGCAGAGCCAGAAAGCCAGGCACTGGGGCCCTAGGGCACTGCTCCACAAATAAGCCACAGGGCCTGGCTGTGGGGAGTGAATGCACATGGAACATGGGGACACAAAAAAATGGTTCCAAAAAACAACAACAACAAAAGAGGATCTGTCAGAGCAGTGACAGTACCTGCCGCAGCAGCCACGCCTGGGATAGGAAAGGAGCGCCTGTGATCTGCCCTAAGCCTCAACAAGTCTCAAGCGAATTTCTGAAGAACTTAGATTCCTCTGATGTTGGCAAGTGCCCAGGAAACATCTTGTCAGAGGAAAGTCGGGGATAACTGTCTGTGCAGGGCCACCTTCGGGTAAACACGCAGGGCCTGTTGGAGAGCCCCCCGGGTGACTGTGACTGCGTTCACTTGACCTCTGCAGTCACCCCGCCCACTGTTCCCTGAGGCCACACTTGCACACCGCCTGCCCTCCACACTTGCACACCGCCTGTCCTCGCTCTGACCTGCCTTCTCCATCAAACCTGCCCCAGCCAGTTTCTCCCTTTGTCTGTCAGGCACCCAGGACGTGTCAGCCACTGCGCTCATTTTCTTTTCCAAGGTGATTTTATTTATACGATCTCACTTAGTTCTTAATTATGAAATATTTTTAACACATAAAAAGGCACCTAATACTTAGCATTGTCAACTCAGTGTTGTTAAAAACCTTTTTTAAAAACGTGAAATCAAAGATTTTAGATACAATTGAAGTTCCCCTTATACACTGTCCTGATTGAATTCCACCCCGACTCCCCCCAGAGGCCACTGCTGCCCTAAATTTGGTGCTTACCACTCCCATGAAAGTTTGACTACACATGTGTAAAACCTTTCAGAGGACTATTTCGCATTATTTTAAACTCTATGTTAAATTGTGTTATGCTGTGTACTGGTCAGGGTTCTCCAGGGAAACATAACCAATAGAATGTGTACAGAGAGACAGAGATTGATTTGAGGGAATTGGCTCACACAGTTATGGAGGCCAGAAGTCCAAGATCAAAGTGTCAGCAGGTTGGAGGCCTAGGGAAGAGGTGATGCTGCAGTTCAAGGCTGAAGGCTGTCTGCTGGTGGAACCCCATTTTCTCAGGGGACCTCAGTCTTTGCTCTATTAAATCCTGCAACTGATTGGATGAGAATACCCACATTATGGAGCGCAGGCAACCTGCTTTACTCGAAGTCCACCAATGTCAATGTCAGTCTCATCCAAAAACACCTTCAGAGAAACATCTAGATTGTTTGACCATCACATACTATTTCCGTCTGTCACTTGCTTTCTTCACTTATTGTGTTTTTGAGATTTATCTATGTTGATAAATCTATCATTTCATTGTATATGAAAGGACTTCAAAATGTTCCTGGAAAAAAAATGGAATTAAGAGATAAAAATACAAAATGTAAACTTTATTCCTCAATAGCAGCTCCACCAAGTTCAAGACACTTTTGTAAGCAATGATACCAGCCATTTAGTTCATCCCTAAAGAACTGAGATCCCTAAAGATCCTGGGAATTTAACGATGTTAGTGCAGTCTTTTTACATTATTAACTGAAGAAAACTCGGTGCCCTTTAAAAATGTTTTAAGAGTAGGAAACAAAAAGAAGCCAGAAGGAGCCAAATCAGGACTGTGAGGTGGAGGCTTAATGATTTCCCACTGAAACTCTTGCAAAATTGCCATTATTCAATAAGAGAAATGGGCAGGAGCATTCGCCATGCTGGAGAAGGACTCTCTAGTGAAGCTTTTTCAGGTGTTTTTCTGCTAACGTTTTAACTAACTTTCTCAAAACACTCTTCTAATAAGCAGATGTTGTCATTCTTTGCCTTCCAGAAAGTCCATAAGCAAAATGCCTTAAGCATCACAAACTGTTGCCATGACCTTTGCTCTTGACCCAGTTCCCTTTGCTGTGACCGCTTGCTAGCCATTGCTTTGACTGTGCTTTGTCTTCAGGATTGTACTGGTAAAGCCATGTGTCACCTCCTATTACAATTCCTTGAAGAAATGCTTCGGGATCTTGGTCTCACATTTTTAAAATTTCCATTGAAAACTCTGCTCTTGTCTGCAGCTGATCTGGGCAAAACAGTTTTGGCACCCATTGAGGGGAAAGTTTGCTTAACTTTAATTTTTCAGTCAGAATTGTGTAAGCTGAACCAATGGAGATGTCTATGGTGTCAGCTATTCTTTCTGCAATCAATTAGGGCATGTACAAGATGAATTTTTTCCTTGCAAATTGTCTGCTGCTGTGGCCTTCATCTTCAACATCATTTCATTCCTTCTTAAACAAATTATCCATTTGTAAACTGCTGATTTCTTTAGGGCATTGTCCTCATAAACTTTTCTTAAAGCTCCAATGATTTCATTATTTTTCCACCCAAGCTTCACCATAAATTTTATGTTTTCTCTTGCTTTAATTTTTTCAGAATTCATGTTGCTATGATAGCGGCTCTTTTCAAACTGATGTCTTATACTTCTTAGTGCCTCTTATATCTGATTCTGTTCAGATATAAGAACTTAGTATGAGTTTATTTTGGTGCAAAAAAATTTGAAATTTAGGCTGGGCACAGTGGCTCATGCCTGTAATCCCAGCACTTTTGGAGGCTGAGGCAGGTGGATCACTTGAGGCCATCTCTACTAAAATTACAAAAAATTAGCTGGGCACAGTGTCGTGTGCCTGTAGTCCCAGCTACTGGGAGACTGAAGCATGAGAATACCTTGAACCCAGAAGGTGGAGGTGGCAGTGAGCCGAGATCTCTTCACTGCACTCCAGTCAGAGTGACAGAAAGAGACTCTGTTTCAAAATAAAGAAAATAGAAATATATGCATTGTTTTTTCATAATGCACATTTTTCCGTGAATTTGTTGAAGGTTCCTTGTCTATATGACAGGTTATGACTTTTTCTATTGATAAGCATAGGTTGCTTCCAATTTTTGCATCACAAACAGGAAAGAGCATAAACTCTCTCGAGTAAGGAACTGCCATGGCATAATACATAGCAAGTGCTTAAAAAGTGTTTGGGTTTGACTTGTTTGGCTTACTATGTACCTGGTACTGTGAAGACAAAGCAGCTCAATTTTATAAGAAAAGGAACTGAGGGCTGGGCACGGTGGCTCACACCTGTAATCCCAGCACTTTAGGAGGCCAAGGCGGCAGATCACCTGAGGTTGGAAGTTCGAGACCAACCTGACCAACGTGGAGAAACCCCATCTCTACTAAAAATATAAAATTAGCCATGTGTGGTGGCACATGCGTGTAATCCCAGCTACTCAGGAGGCTGAGGCAGGAGAATCACTTGAACCCAGGAGGTGGAGGTTGTGGTGAGCCGAGACCACATCATTGCACTCCAGCCTGGGCAACAAGAGCAAAACTCAGTCTCAAAAAAAAAAAACCAAACAAAAATAAAAATGAACAAACAAAAGAAAGAAAGAAGAAAGGAAGGAAGGAAGGAAGGAAGGAAGGAAGGAAGGAAGGAAGGAAGGAAGGAAGGAAGGAAGGAAGGAAGGAAAACAGAGAGGGAGAAAGAGAGAGAGGGGGAGAGAGAGAGAGAGAGAGAAAGAAAGAAAGAAAGAAAGAAAGAAACAAAGAAAGAAAGAAAGAAAGAAAGAAAGAAAGAAAGAAAGAAAGAAAGAAAGAAAGAAAGAAAGAAAGAAAGAAAGAAAGAAAGGAAGGAAGGAAGGAAGGAAGGAAGGAAGGAAGGAAGGAAGGAAAAGGAAAGGAGGGAAGGAAATGAGAAAGAAGGAAGGAAGGAAAGAAGAAAGAAAGGAAAGAAAGGAAAGAAAAGAAAGAAAGAGAGAAAGAGAGAGGGAAGGAAGGAAGAAAGGAAGGAAAGAAAGAAAGAAGGAAGGAAAGAAAAGAAAGACAAGGAAGGAAAGAAAGAAAGGAAAGAAAGAGAACTGAACTATTTAACATTAGAACCATGATTCAAACATGGGAGTAACGCAAGATGGCTGAGCATGGGTTTTACAG